AGCGTCAAACTTACACTAACCATCCCACTATTTTTTGTTATAATAAATAAAGAACACGCACGAAAAACGAGAAATATAGTAGCTAGCGTCAAAACTTACACTAACCATCCCACTATTTTTTGTTATAATAAATAAAGAACACACACGAAAAATAAGAAATATAGTAGCTAGCGTCAAAACTTACACTAACCACCCCTCTTCCTCCATTCCCCCTCTTAAACTTTAAAGCACTGATGTATATATAGATTTTTTTACATTCCTACAAACATCTATGCTAGATACAAAAATGTGTACGGTTACAAAATTCGTGATATAAAACATCAAAATTAAATAATCGGGCAAATTATTATTAGAACACATAAGGTAAAAAATAATTAATGAAAAACATGGGTAGATGACGCCTCACTCGAAACACCTACAGACACCTTCTTTTGATCTCAGTTAATATAAGATGTTTCTATCGAAAACGGCTTCGGATACTTTCAATTATAGTATAGTTTCACCTTAATGTGGATGTGGTATATTTGGAAGTGAAATGCCGTTTTAGTTTATCATGAGCCACGATAGTGGTTCATAATAGGGATCGCAAGGAATTGCACAAAACGTTCAGGCAAAATGCACGCTAAACAGCAAATATTCAGTTCAAACAACATTTTAAAACATTTACTATTGACTGCTAAGGCTATACAAATAAAAATTCACAAAAAATATGTGCATGCTAGACTTACAAGGAAAGAAAATATGCTCAAAGCGGCCTGTTTGTAATTCTTCCTAATTATTCTCTTGCCAGCCTAAAGCAAAAACGGTTGGTATATTGCACCCAAACTTTTTCTAGAATATTAAATAAGGTACTGCACAGGTTGTATTGGTATTGAAAAGTCGATTTCTTTGTTCTATATTTTACATAAGCTAAAAGACATCATAATCCTAGTGTAAACGATGTTATCATTATCCCTTGAAGTTAGCTTTCTTACAAATATCTAGTGTTCCTTTGAAAAGCGTAAGTACAGGATAAAACAGGAATTACCAGCCAATAATTGGTGAACATTAGATGAATGTTACATATAGATACAATATGCTTAGTACACTATACAATTGGTGTCTTTAGGGAGCCAACCCCTATGTAAGGAGTAAAAAAAAAATCAATACACATAATATTAAATTTTATTACACATATTCATAGAATAATTAATGTAAAATATGCGAAGATTTATCTAAAGCGATGTTTTAAACGTATATGTTTTATATAAAAAGGCTGCTTTTCTATTGGTAAAAATTTGTACGCCTTTAGTGGGGGTTGAGTCCTAGTCTAGCCATATATTTGCCCATTATTATGCATTATATACAGAGAATTTAGTTACGCAGAAACGATAAACGCTCACTGTATTCTCAAACAAATATCCATGACAATCTCCAGCTGCAGCTTAACATTTTACACCTCGAACTAATGCGATCAAATAGTTAATAGCTACAGTAAATCATCATGAACGGTATCAGCTAGCTACTAGCCACGTTTATTATGATCACAATGTATAAAGTTAACTGTCATATTAAAAAATCCTTTTCCCATACTTGAGCTTAAAAACCCAGTAAACAAGATAAATAACAAATTGGGAATTTAAAAACCTGCGAATAGGGATTGTAAAAAAAGTCTAGAGATACTGTAAACATTATTTACTCAAATTACATACCCCTATTTTGGCTTCATGCTGTTACCTAGGGTTACATTTGATTGAGTCAAAATAAGGGTTTGTAGTTTGAGTAACTAATATCTACAATATATTCAGCGCTGTTTCCTAACTTTTTTACGATCCATATTCGTAGGTTTTTAAATTCCCGATTTTTTTCACTTATCTTGTGTACAATGTTTCAATAGGGTGCCTCCTGCTTTTCGCTCTTTTCCATTGGTTATTGATGTTAATTTAATCGGGAATGTAGAGATTTCTGCTGTATAGTTTTAGTTGATAAACTGTATTCTTTTTAGACATAGTTCTGAAAGTTTTTTACTGTAGGTTATAATTTTAAGATTTCATATTTGAATAGTATACAACACTAATACACCATACCTTAGTGTAGGTTTTATAACCAACCGTATTTTAGCTCTTACCACAAGGGCGTACTGTGATAAGGGATTTTCACGCGGAATCTAATCGTATGTGATTTGTAGGACCATTCTTCAATAATATATACAATAAATCAGTAAAATGAATTTTTTATATTTTGTAAAATTTCAGAATATTTCCTGGTTTGTGGGAATACAAAATGCCTTGTCGCGAAGGGGTCAATTTGCTTTGAATTATACCTTGCTAATTACTTAATGATATAACATATTAGTATTATGTTTTCTTTACACAATTCCAATTTACTATACTTTAATATCTTATAAAATGATCAAAACAAAGTATGTGGGGGCAAGTTAGAGTTATGTTTTTATCTTTTCAACGTATTGTTAATGGTTAGGGCCCTCGACTCGCAGTCTGCGGTTCGCAGGTTCGAACCCCAGTCCCAACAAACATGCTCGCCCTTTCAGCCGTGTCTGTATTATAATTTTACGGTCAGTTCCACTATTATTTGTCAGAAGAGTTGGCGGTGGGTGATGATGACTAGCTGCCTTCCATCTAGGTTTTCACTGCTAAAGTAGGGACGGCTAGCGCAGATAGTCCTCGTGTGTCTTAGCGTTAAATTCAACACAAACCAAACCAAAACGTAGTTAGAACTCGCGTATATGAACTGAACAATGCGTTCATTAAAATTAGTGCTTTTTTATTTCACCATTAGTCCTGAAAAAAGAAAAAGATTAACTGAAAACTCGTGTCATTTATTTTACAAAAAGAAATTACTTTCGATTTCGGAAAAAAGAGAGTAATAGTTGAATATTAATTAGAGTGGGCCGAAAGTTACTATACTGTATGGAATATACGGTTGGTACCAAAGAAAATATTTCGATGACAATTGAAAGAAATTGTTGTTTCTTTCAAAGTAATAGTTAGAAATTAAACATGTTCCAAATAAATTAAAATAACTACACAGTCGTTTTTGCCCAACCCTGTATACCAATATTTAGACTAGTTTTCATCAGGGTACAATGTAGTATAAAAACTTGGTCGCTCTTTTTAAATATTAATGGAAAGAATTAAACCGAGTAACCTCGTGACAACCCATACGAGACAACAATCAAATTGTTAGGTTAAAACTATGAACAGTACTAGTATTGCCAGAGTGGGTGTTTTTCTTCCGCAGTTTTCAAATTGATTGGGCCATGGACGATTTAAGGAGCAATAAATTGTGCAACTTTTAAATACTTCAACTTCTCACAGAGAAAACCAGTATAACTAAGAGTAATTTAATTTATTATTAACATTTCGACAAGTGTAATGAAGTAGTCATCAGGCTATACCCGAGGGACAATCATAATCACGCACATTGTTGCTGATAGCCAGTTATAACCACTGAAATTTAAACTGCTAATTGTACGCTGAAGACTAACCCTAAGGTCAATGTGATTATCGTAAATTAAGTCTATAGGTGGGGGCAGCACAATCGATGCTTGAAACAAAGAGCACTGATGCATCACAATGTTGGATCTTGAGCGCTCAGATTCCTTAAAGTACAGTACGAAGGCGAAAAGAAACAACTTTTTATTTTTTACCGGGAAAAGAAGTTTATAAGGAAGTTGAGCCCAATATAAGTAGTAACGAATGTGAATTTTTTATTTAAATATTAAAATCCAGATCACAACAAAAACAAGAATAAAACTTATCCCACCCCCAAAATTCAATATTAAAAATCATGATAGACCCTTCTTTCAGAGATGACCACCCCCTAAATATGATTCAAAAATTGATCTAAGGATCTTGTTTTGGTTTCGTAGTAATTTGGTTGGCATAATTATATCTTTATTGATGTAATTTGTAAATATAGGTCTAACAAATGGAGTTCTTAAAAAATGTTAGTTTTCAATAAAGGGTACCACTTTTAATATAAAAAAACATTACAGTTTATATCAACATAATCCGAAAACTTTTCCCTTGCAGTACTTCCAAAAAAAAATCCCTTTTTCGGAAAATATTCACTTTTTCTAAATGTTTTCAATGAGATATGAATACTACTTTTAGAAAGTAGGGCGGCGTTTATGCTAGTATATATAAATTGCACATAGAAGTTAGCTTAGATTACGAATTGTTTATCTTAAACTGCAAAGTTACTCTTGGCGCTCAATATATTGTTATTGTACGTTTGTCTTCGCTACGGTTATATCTCTGAAATCACAGTAACTGTTTGCATACATATTTTGAGAGTGAATGTATTAATTGTTTATTGTTTTATGAGAAATCAAATTATTTCTTTATTCATAATTAAACTGTTTCTTGTCCGTGTTGTCTAACGTTTCTCTGGCATACGTAATCACTAACCTGATGTTTTGCGTTGCGTCTGCTCAAAAGTTAGTTTTATTTTCTGTTGAACAATTTCTCATGCCAGCAGACTATTTTTAATAGTTTTGCGTTCTTTCAGAAAAGAAAAAAAAACTTAAGAATTAATTTCTTTACTTGTAAACACATTATAAAAGCATTCGTAGCGATATGTATAAAACTCCAGTTACATATATACGTCACAATTTCGACATAAATACACTTGACGTTTTCATATTGTTAGGTTACCTGTACCTGGAAAAACAGACGTGTGTGAGTGAGTGCTAAACTGATGACGTGTTAGTCATATGACTATCGAATATCCTCTTTCTCGAGTATAATAAGTAAAAAGAGAAAACTGTTGGTAGTCTGGAACTGGAGTAGGTGGTGGTTTTAACTCCGTATCTGTCAGGTTTCCTAAGAACACAAAACCGGCTCTAGGTTGCTTTGTTCTCACAGCATATATCGTGTTGAACGGTACTGAAGTTACGCAAGTGTATCGTATAGCAAATATTACAACGTGCACTGAAGGTAAGGTGGAATTGAAGTGTTATTTCTCACACATTTTCTTGTTATTTGCAACTTGTATAGTATCAACGGACGGAGATCAGCAGCTCAAGCAATGCAGAAACTTTGGGAGGACATTCTGATAACAAAAGCACCAAATCTAGCGACAGTGTCGGGGTTCATTCTCCCTCAGACAAGTGTTTTCTTCTCTCCCAAGATTTCTCACGCACCTCAAAATCAGAGATGGCCATCCCAGCACCTGTTTATTTCCTTTTAAGGGAACATGCAAAATCTCTAGTTGCCATTAAGGTATGTTAATTTTTTTCTTAATAATATTTTGATTAGTATATTATATATGTATATATATATTGTAATCTGAAGAACAATACAAATCCATTCTTTTTGGTAGTTGACTGTTATTTTAATATCAAAACTTTAACCATTAAATCGTTTTGAAACCTGCAGTCTGAGTAAACTGAAAAGGAGAAACAAGACCAGAGGTTTGTTTGGGATGTTTGTGCAAACTGGAGAAAAGGGTCCATCTACCAAAGCCCAAGGGAACATCACACTGACAATGACAGAAGTTTATATACGTATATTGTATGAAATCGTGTTTAAATCGGAAAGAACTCTAGGTTTACAGGTTATAGCAGCAACAACAACAACAACAAAAAAAAAAAAAAACGCACTGAAAATCAGGTGAAGTTATTACCTTTGAGAGAACAATAAGAATTTTGAAACTTTCAAAATAGAACATATTGTTGTTGTTACTTATATCTACAGTGTGCAGTTTCTCAGGAGGGATTTTATTTTTCGTTAATATACTATGAAATAAAATGGTTTCTGAATTGTTTTTACATTAACTTGTACCTATTCACTTAGCACCAAAGGTATCGATCCTGGGTGGCAAACAAAAAAAGAAATAGTTATTCATAAAAAATGTGTTTTGCTTGTCATTGCATCTGCTGATGAGTGCTAATACACACATGCTTAGTCATTTTCTTAAAAGTTGTACAACAGATTCTACACTAGACTTTGAACTAGGTCATTATTGAGAGAGTGTAACATACAACATCTGATTTGACTGTATTCGCAACTTAACACACTTGTACATAAAACTTAAACTTGATATCTGGGGGAAAAATAACTTTGACATCCAGAAAAGTTTTTGGTGAGGTAGCTCTTGCCAACCAAGGATCAACATCCTTGCTTAGCACCATTGTATTTTTACAAATAGTTTTGTAAGTTAAAAATAACCTGAGCATATTGTTTTATTTATGATGCTGGAGAAATTTATTGCATAGTTTATATACAAACACACATAAGACATTTTTAATATATATATATATCTGTGTGTGTGTGTGGATTCATTTTTAGACTGACTAACAGAAAAGTTCATATATTGCTAGAAATGCTGAAATAATATTCATGCTAATAGGTGTGCTAAAATTTATATATGTCTGCAGTACTAGTGAGAGGGAGGGGGAGGGGGGGGGGCTATGACTGGGTGATAGCAGAGCATTGAAACATGAGTCACTGGCACTATCTTTGATCTGACAAACACCCTAACAGCTACAGAGTTAGAAAGCTAGGTACATGTACATTGGGTAAATGGAAATTTAAACACAGAAAAATTGATAAGAGATAAAAAATATCAAATAAGAAATTGCTTTGTTTTTTTACCAAGATTTTGATTTTTTAATGCTTTCATAAAATGTTGTACATTTTCCCATTTGATCCATACAGTGAATTATTACATTAAAAATCTCGGTCTTTACCTGTGTTCCTGTTTTTTTGTATCATTTGCAGCAGATTGCCTTGTAAACATACTTTTAAGATTTATATGTTTTTTCAGAGCTACAGCTTAATAAAGGTAGAAAATTAGAGATTGGTTATCTATACTTGTATATTTATTTTTTATAAGGAACTTTTCTACACATTTACATAGTAGGTTCAGTGTAGTTCTAAACAGGTTTATTTAAGCGTATCATTTGCTTGGTCATCTTACAAGTAGCAAACAAGCTAATGTATCAAACCTGTTTTTAATTCCTTTGTCTTTTGGAAGTAACTTTAATTGGATTTGTATCAACTTCAGACATGAAATGTAGTTTAATTTTACATGACTCATTGTTCAAGAAAGTTAAAGCTCTGTTAGCTTGTTTGGCTTCCTAGAAAACATCCTGTAATGAAAAATGAGAGGTAGGGTAACATTTTATTCTACGTAAAACAATTTAGGCTTAGTGATAAGTTGCATTTCTTATTTGAATTAAAATTACTCTGTTTGACACTTAAAGACTTCCAGCATTTTACTCCAGAAAGAAAATTAGTCATTAAATAATTTGTAAATAACAATAAAACAAAAAGAAAATGCATTTAAAATAACTGTGTACATATTTCTACAATATTTTCAGCTATGTTTCAACATTAACAGTTCAGTACACTCAGATATAAAGGTAATTTTATTGCAATTATTTAACAGTGTGGTTAAAACAAAATCAGTCACTTACCTGATACAACATAATGTTAGCATCTTTCATGTAAATTACTTGTACTCCAGATTTCAGCTTATCAAACGATTTTGGAAAAGATGCATAAAATAATTTCTGTGGGAAGTTTTCATGTGGAGCTTAACAATTGAGCTAATACAAAATGCAAGGAATCATGGATGTAGAAGAATTCCATAACCTTTCAAGTGTTGCTTGTGAACTTAAATACTAATTTCTACTCTTAAAATGCTACTTGCTAAATACTTGTAAAATATCATAAAATTTATTTGTCATACTAGTCTATATGCTAGTATCACTTTTTCTTATTTCATCATGAGAAAACTGTAAATTCTGTTATTATTAGCAATAACTTTATTCTTAACGGAATGCCTGATACTATAGTTAAGCCAATGATTTGGTCCGTTTCACCTATTACGGTATTTGCAATCCAAGTAGTACTACTGATGTATAAACATACTTTCAACAGTATCTTTGTTTTTGTTTTGCCTAAAGCAATCTTAGGAATTATATCCTTATTTTTGTTTTAGTTGCCCTCAAGTCTGTTTTTAAAGAGTATAATAATTTCACAGTAAGATCACATGCACATGATACATCTAAAGTTCATGCTGTACAGAAATGAAGTGGGTAATGTGGAAAGCAAAACAAAAAGTTTCCATAAAGTATTTGAACTGCTATCACCATTGAAAAAAATTAATTTAATTAGTAACTAAGAAAACTAATGAAACCATCAAACACCATGAAATAGTTCAAGAACATTTTTCAAACACTAACATTTAAATAAATAAAAATAAGAAACCTGATACCTTGGGTGTTTTCTGAAAGTAGATTTTCCTTCTTCAGGTCTGTCTTTCAAAGGTATTTGAGTTGTTTTTTTTTTACTTTTGATTAATATCATTTTTGATTCTATGTGATATATTGTTTTTCTTGAATGTATCTCCATTGGAGGAGCATAAATTCAATTCAGGCTATTAAGGATAAGTTATTAATAATAATAAATTTTTTTATGTGAATTTAAAAATAAAAATTTTAAATCATTTATTAAATCTCGTACATTTCTGAAACCTACATTGTGGTTACTTTTAAACAGTATGATAAAATAAAATATTAGAATATAAAAGTTACAAATGTTTCAGGTAGCATCACTTATGTGAATAATTTATCCTGTATTGTTTTGTTTTTTTCAAATATTCAGGTGAATTTGAAATATACTGAGTATAAGAATGGTGCATGCTGTCTATCCTTTTATAACAAAGATTTATTTTTGTTACATAAAATTAACTGAAATGTTAGAAGTACATGTCTCAGCGTATTGAATAATATATACACATATATTAACATATATATATATATATGTATAATATATATATATATATATAATAAGAAGAAAGTAATTGAGAATTGAAATTATCTATTATACTTCCATTATGGTATGTACCACATTTTTCAGTGTATAAGATGCACTTTTTTACCCTAAAATTTGATGTCAAAATCTCCTTGCAGCCTATACACCGAAGGTATGCATAATATATATGTATATATATATATATATATATATATATAGTATAATAAACAACTACAGTAGTAGTAAACTAATTAATTTAAATACGCCTATGA